TATATAGGGTGGAGTACCCAAGGATCGGGCGTGTATCCTCAAAACTCATAGATTACTATTAAATTATTGTTTTGTAATTTAGGATCGGGCGTTTATCGCCAAAACTCGATTTTAGGGTGGAGTACCCAAGGATCGGGCGTGTATCCTCAAAACTCGGCTATATAGGGTGGAGTACCCAAGGATCGGGCGTGCATGTATCCTCAAAACTCATAGATTACTATTAAATTATTGTTTTGTAATTTAGGACCGGGCGGTGTCCTCATGTTAATATGATTTGAACCAGGAGGAGTTCTATACACTCATAGGTATATGGATGGGTTGGGGTTTAAGTCAAGGATATTGACTATACTGTTTTCCCAAATAAACAATGACCTACGGGCCGGGTCAGGTATTTCCAAGTAAATATATACTGATATGTATTTCATAACTTGGGGGAAGAGCTATATGTATATGTGTTGGGTTAATGGCCCAAGCAGAGGGTCGGCCCATTTACGCCATCGGTTGGACGAATGTCCAGACAGGTCATTAGGCGGATCAAGCTAACAGGCAAACATGACACAGACGAACGTTGGGTTCAAGACCTAGGCTTACTGACCCCTCCCGACGAGCGTCCATGCATACAATAGTGGATCAGGCCCACAATCAGCGTAGTGACAATGAACGTCTCAGGATCAAACCTCCATACAATCGCATCGGCGATGAACGTCGCTTCCAGAAGACGTAACATTGGGAGCCAGCCCAATCTATGCGACAAATCATCTAAGGGCCAGGATACGAATGGCCCGATACCCTTTACGATATTGCCAGGAGCAGTCCACCTCCCCTAGCAGGACGAACGTCCCCACTAATTAGGCGGGAAACCCAGATCCTGGCGGGAAGCGCATTTAATGCTGAAGATTTGGTGGTTGGAGCACCAGCCACTCACAGTCCTCCACGTCAGCATAGCCAACTGCCCATTGGTAGTATAAATAGCAGCATTTATTTCATTGTAAAGGGTTGGCAACTTACTATTCTTAGCACTCTAGCTTATAACATTCTTACTCGCAGCTCTTCTACTGCCTTGTAAGACGAACGGCCGACGAGCCTTAGCGAAAAGTATTGTATTGGGGAGTTATTTACTGATTAATAATACCTAATCTCTTACTTGCTACTTATTGTTTCTCAATCCATTTAACTTGTTAGTTGGGCTAGATTATTCATACACACTCCACTCGAAACTCTTGGGCTTACGTGTTGAACCCGAGGGTTGAAGGAATAAACCTCAACAATATGTATCACCCTGTGTTTGGGTCTTATACTTAAAACGTTAGTTATTCTACATTTAGCCTGCTACTCGCTCGGTACTTGTACTGACCCCTTCGGGGGGGCCACCATTTCAGGTTGAAGCTCAAGATTGATATTCTCACCTTGCTCGGTGAAGTGATATAAAGGAAGACGTGGTTCGTGCTTCCTTTACTATTTTAAACTATAAACTATGCTCATGGATACTTTGTAATAAATACATTTGTTTTGGGCCTGCGTGCCTACGTTTTGGCTATGTGTGGCCCATGATTGAATATTGAATATTTCCGCTATTCGTTCAATCCAAATATGTGATGTTGTTATGTATGTATACTTACTGAGTATGGTATGGACTATGTTCATGGACGTCTTGTGTGACTAAGTCACGCTGACTTGCGAGTGGCGTCATTTAGTCATACGGCGGTTGTACATGCGCTTAGATGCGGTCTGGGGCGTGACATGTTTTGGTCTAGGACATATTATAGTCCAAGTAAAAACATCCTAACACCACTAAGGTGTTTTTTTTAAATGACTAAATGCATAACTCTAAAATTAGAAACTTCTGAATACATGGCATTGTACCCCCAAATTCGGTGGTACATCGAGTGAAAGTGACACGTCGACCAAAGTGATAGCTACAAAACTACAATGAGTGACAAGACCGATGACAGCTCAGTTTCAATGTTGCCCAACAATGCTTTTACACCTACACCACGCTAGTGAACTATAATTCCGCGACACTCTAAAGAATCCATCGCTCTCGATGAATGACCCCACCACCGCTGGTGAATGATCAATGACACTACCCCGTCGCTAGTGAACCATAATTATGATGTTGTTCCAATTATCCCACCACCTTGGTGCCATATATACTGATATCCGCTTATGTGGCATTGTAGTAAAATGAAATCTAACCTTTCGATTTTCCCCTGAGTATCGTGTCTCTTGAGGAATGGTGGAGGAGTTCTTGATTTTAAATCCAGTCACATGTTATCGCAAATTATTGGGATCTTCCCCAATTAAAACTTTTGATTGATTTTCTAAACTACTTTTTGATAAAGAAAGTAAATTAAATTATGCAAATACTAATGATGCTAAAAAATAAACTAAATGAAAAATATAATATTAAACTCTAAATGGATTGATCAAAGAAGGGCAATGAATTGAATTATAAAATATGGGTACATCCTTTTGGATTGGACCTAATAATTAGGGGTATTTATAACTAAATCTTTTCCCATTGACAAGATTTAGGTTTCTTGCACTAATTCATCCTGTTTCTAGGCTTCATTAACGTGTTTAAAATGTCTGGCCTAAATTATATTATAATCTTATTGACAAGATAGATATAAATTTCCACATTTCAGCTAACAAAATGGTCAACTTCATTAATTAATTAAATTTATCATATTAAACAATTGAATTTATTCCTCATAGACAATGATTAAATTATATCCATTAATTTATCCTATCTCTAGGCTTCATTAATGTGCACAATATGTTTGGCTTAAACTATTTATAATCTCATAGACAAATCATAAATAATCTTCCAAAAGTTTAATTAATGAAATGACCAAATCTATTCAGTAATCAAATTAATCATTTTAAACAACTAGTCCATAAAATTAGTTTAACTCCTAATTTTCAGTCAAACAAGGTCAACCCATATTATTTAATTCAACTCATGCCCAAGAGTAAATTAATTACAACAACTCATTACTAGTTTTAACACTTTAAATATAAAATAAGACATGATCATAAATAATAACAACACAAAATATTAAAGTGAATACTTCCAACATCTAAACTTTTGTTTCTTTCACAAATAATAATCATTTATACAAGGCATTGAGGTTTTTCTAAGTAGGAGATTAACATAACAACAAGAACTACTTTTCTTAGCTTGAATACATATGGAAAATACGAAATTCTTAAAATTAAATCAAAGATTTTTTCACCAATATTTGGGAAATAAAAACAACATATTCAGATTTCAGGATCTACACGATGAGAGGATAAAATTTTATATAAAGAACTTACAAATTGGAGCTAAAATGAGAAAGATATGAAATATTGAAGATGAAGGTGCAAGAATGGTAGAAATCCGAGCTTTGAGAAGGAAGAAGACGCCTTTTTTTTTTATCTGGCTTAAATTTCTCTGGCTTGCAATGTATTTTCTTCTCTTCAAATTTGTCTTCCGGGCCACTTTGATATTCTATTTCCTTCTTTCGATATGAATTCATTTGTTACTCAAATTGACTTATTTTGTACTCAATTGATACGGAATTTCGCCAAACATATTATGGATGTGATTTTTACCCGATTTCATGAAACTTGAACCAAAATATCTAAAACATGCTTTGTTTTTGTGTTTTCTATCAAAAATCGCTTAAATTTGATAAGAAAAATAAGTACAAAAATGAACTTATCATGACCCCACTGCCTCGTTTCCCTTGTGATCCAATGCATTGGTCCCTAGTAATCCCAATGCACCGATGCCCTTGTAATCCCAAGGCCCTCGGCGCATCGATTACCCTCCACCCTAGTCATCCCAGTCATTTCATGTTAACTAAACCTTTTTTTTTTTTAATCATGATGCATATTTAAGTATATACTACTTCCGTTCTTAAATAAATGCAACATGTTGAATTTTACACTATTCACGTGTTGTACTTTGACTACATTTTATTTACTAATGTATTAATATTTTTTTATGAAAAAATAATATTAAGTTTGTCTCATTTTAAATTTTCAAAATCTAATTTTCTTAATTTTTTTACTAATACAAAATTATATATATTAATAGTTACAGCTGTGTCTCGGCAAATGTGAAATGTTGACTGTTGCATTTATTTAAGAATTTAACATTTAACAACTTTTTTCTATTATTTCTCCTAAAATTGTTGTCCTTTTCCTTTAAGGTAAATATTTATGATTCTACTTATTTTCTCCAGAACAATTCTCAACTACAAGATTTCTTACATGCCCTATTTTACTTGTTATACGGAGTATAAATTTGACATTGTCTAGTGAAAGGGAGCTAATAGAATTTAGGGGAAATTTGACTTAGCACCTCGTTTTTGGGGTGATATTGAAATTTGCACCTTATTTTAAAATTAATTTGACTTTTCATCCCATTTCATTTCAAAATACTTTGACTTTCTATCCTATTTAGAAATTTTTCTTCACAAATGTTATACTTGTATGATTGGGTGCAAAGACAAATGTTTTTTAAAATGGGGTGCAAAGTCCAACATCATAAAAAAAAATGGGGTGCAAAATCAATTCTCTCAAGAATTTAATATTGTGGGTAGTTTCTTAACATAATTTATTCAATGGAGTAATTCAAAGAAAGGAATATGAATTACAAGAACTGTCGGTTAAAAGCTCCCGATATTTTCAACTATTGCTGTTTAATTCTCTCCTTTTAAGTTCTTACCGTGTAATTTTATTCCATCGATTTGACTTTGAAATTGACCATTGCCGGACGTCCGCTCCTCACTGGCGGACTCGAGCACTCTCATTGAATCCATTTCACCTAGCCTTTCAGTTCCGCCACACCCCCAGCCGGTTGCCCATCCTGTTTCTTCCTCAACTGACCCCACCAACCGGCTTACTTTCTAAATTTCAAAATACACAAACTTTCATAAACTCATTTCGGTCTCATTTGCATTTCATTTCATTTTCCTTTTCTCTCTCATAGGGGTCTGTCACTATCCTTTTGTCGTGCTGTCTCACTGTTCTCTCTCCACCTATACATACATATCGCTGTATATACGACTTAAATACACATATCCTCTTTTTGGTTACGGGAATGCAATTCCTCCCCAGTCGCTGTTGGAGTTGGAGAGACAAACTTTGTGTATGATCCACTTCCGGAGAGAATCCTCAATTACTGCAACCGATCGTTGAAGTTATTATCCGTCTCTCTTTTCGGATCTGTTAAAAGCTTCTCTCTTCTGTTAATGATTATCGGGGCGCCCGTTTCTGGTTAGTATGTTTGCTCGCTTCGCCGACTTATGTTTGATGGATTGCTTGCTTTTAAGCTTCGGTCATGGTTCTTAGTGATAGCTGCTTTTTGAAATGGGTATTTCGACGTTCTGTGCTAATATTGTTTACGCGGAAGTACCAGGCATCTTAAGCCTTCAGCTCTGAATTGCTTGCTTGTATTTCATTTTTATTTTGCTTAGAGCCTTAGACAGTAGTTTGTTTTCCTGTTCTTTAAATATTTCTTCTGCCTTTTAACTTAACTTGATCTGTAGCTTACAGTAATAAAGTTCCAGGTTTAAGATAAACTGACGGTAAATTAGCATACATATTCTTTTGTTATGAACCTTTCACCTGTATTGCTTGAGAGAACTCCCATAAAGTGGAGAGATGATCGAATCGGAATCATTTCCTTTGTAGAGAGAGAATATGGGGCCTTAATTTTCTACGCGCTCAACAAATTTCTATGTTTGAACTGCTTTTTCCGTAAGATACACATGCTGAAGGTGAACCTTTTCTATGTATGCTGATTGTTGTTCTCTTTTAAGTAATATATTAACGCAAAAGATCTATGTTATTAGCGCTGGAGATTTTGATTGTGATGACCAATTCTGATTTAGAAGGATTAGTTTATTTTCCTTTTTCAATCTGCTCCTCGTTAGGAAATGTGCCTGTGGAGAGCACATCATTTGATCCTTGAGAGATCTGATACTTGGGATTTGTTTGGATGCTTATGAACTTATAAACTTTCTATCTTATCATCAGGTGATTGAATCAGTTGCAGTGGCCCAGAGCAATCCAATTATAACTCCAGTATGAAGGACGTGAGCAGACATAGCATTAAGACTGATGATCCGTTTTCAAGCCTACTTGAGCTTGCTGCTAACAACGATGCTGATTCTTTCAAACAATTCATTGAGTCTGATTCTTCAGCCATTGACTCAGTTGGACTTTGGTTGGTCCGCAAGAAGGGCGCGAAGCAGGTTGTTGAGGTGGAAAGGACTCCATTAATGGTCGCTTCCACATATGGAAGCATTGATGTCTTGAAGCTGATTCTTTCTCTGCCTGAAGTTGACGTCAACCGAACTTGTGGACCCGACAAATGCACTGCCCTTCACTGTGCTACCTCTGGTGGCTCTGTTAATGTCATTGAAGTTGTTAAGTTGTTGATATCAGCTGGGGCTGACCCAAACATTGAAGATTTCAACGGTCAGCGGGCAGCTGATGTCATTTCTGTCCCTCCAAAGCTTCCAGGTGGTAGAGCTGCTCTAGAGGATCTGTTACTGAACAATACTACGTCTGATGGGTCAGTTGGTGGAAGTGATACGGTTGGGTCAAATGCATCCTCGCCTGTCTTATCTTCATCCCCTGAAAATGGTTCACCATGTTATCATCCAAGGGAATCAAAGAGGGAATACCCGATCGACCCGTCTCTACCTGACATAAAAAATGGTGTATACTCAAGTGATGAGTTTAGGATGTTTTCCTTCAAGGTGAGGCCTTGCTCCCGGGCTTATTCTCATGATTGGACTGAGTGTCCATTCGTCCACCCGGGAGAGAATGCACGGAGAAGAGATCCAAGGAAATACCATTATAGTTGTGTCCCGTGCCCGGAGTTTCGCAAGGGTGCTTGTAGACGTGGCGATATGTGTGAATATGCCCACGGGGTGTTTGAGTGTTGGCTACACCCGGCCCAATACCGGACCCGTTTATGCAAGGATGGTACCAGTTGTGCTAGACGGGTTTGCTTTTTTGCCCACACTGCTGAGGAGCTTCGACCACTTTACGTCTCTACTGGGTCCGCTGTCCCGTCTCCCAGGTCTAGTGCTGCTACTGCTACTGTTATGGACATGGCTGTTGCGTTAAGTCTTCTCCCAGGATCTCCAACGGCCAATTCAATACCTCACTCGTCTCCTCCCACCTGGACCCCTCACCATCAACCAAGTGTTCCCACTCTTCATCTCCCTGGAAGTAACCTACAGTCGAGTAGGCTAAGGACTTCTTTCAATGCGCGAGAAAACATGAAAATGATGCAGGAATATGATTCCCAGCTGGGTTGTTTTTCACCTTCTCTGACTCATCCCAATAGTCTACTAACCCCTTCCAATCTTGAGGAGCTTTTTTCTGCTGAAAACAACTTGTCTCCTAGGTACTCTGATCAGATGGTGGTGTCTTCAGGTGGTGTTTTCTCACCTTCACATAAGTTCAACCAGTTCCAACAGCAGCAGAGAATGCTCTCACCTATCAATACTACCACCACTGCATTTTCCCCAGGAAGAATGTCCACAAGAAGTGTGGATCCCATATCCCCAATGAGCGGCCGTCACTCTACATTTGCTCAAACTGAGAAACAGCAACAACTTCGCTCTGTCAGCTCCCGGGATCTTGGTGGATCTCCCGTTGTGGGCAAGTCTTGGTCAAATTTGGGGCCTGCGCTTAATACAAATATAGACTGGTCACTCAATGGGCATCAACTTGGAAGTTCTGAGGAGAGCAACGTGAAGGGACCTGACTTGTCATGGGTGCAATCTCTTGTTAAAGAATATGAGCCTTCTGAGATCAAGGGAAATTTGGTGTCGGCTCCGGTTTTGGGTGGTGCTGGCCCATCGGGGTCTCAAAATGATGGTCCTGATTCGATTGATTATTCTGCCCTGGGAGCTTGGCTCGAGCAGATGCAAATTGATCAACAGCTTGTGGCCTGAGAGACCCATTCCTTTTCTCTTTTTTGCTTTTTGACAAAACTAAAAGTTTTTAGGGGAAGTATATACAGTGGTCGGCGCTATTATTCTGCGGCCTGCTTTTTTTCGCTAAATTGTAATGAGTATTTTACTATTAGGTTTCATTAATCTTTAATTTATTTTCTTAAATCAGTTCTGAAGGCATTATCGTCTGGGCTGTATCCAAGAAACCCAGTCCATATCGTGTAATCTTTCATAATGTAATACAGAATTCTGGGACGAGTTCCCCTCTTACATTTTCTTTATTCGATAAAAATAACTGAAATCTTCTGTATTTTGTTGTTGAATTTTACACTGGTGTTCGTACATGTACTTGGATTCATTTTGAATGTTTTTACTTGGTACTTAACTACTTATTTGAGTCTCAGGTTACATTTAAATAAATCAAATCCTTACAATTATATACACTAGACTAGATTACATTTAAATAAATCAAATCAGGCTTTGACAACTGTGAAATACACATAGACAAGATGTCTATCTAACCAAACAAGAAAATTTTAATACAATATATATGTTGAGAAAAGTGAGGGGGCAGGGGTGCACATGATATGCACATAATGTACACATAATGCACACATAATATGCACAAATGTAAACACAAATGTACACATAATGTGCACAAAATGTACACATAATATGCACCAATTACATATACAAAAGGGAAAATTGTCAAATTGGCCCTCGAAGTATTCCCAAACAATCAATTAGACCAATTAGACCCTAAACTAAAGAAACACCCAATTAAACCCATGAACTATACAAAAACTCCCAAATGTCTAATTTAGTAGGTGACCTTCCGGTTAACGGGTTATGAACTATACAAAAACTCCCAGATGACGACGGAAGGCGGCCGCCTGCTTGGGCGCCTTCGGTGAATTTTCTGCTATAAATAGCAGGGTTTTTCCCCATCTCAAACACACCAATTTCAAGCCCAAATCAGATCAAAAAGGGCGTCTTCTTCCTCCTCAAAGCTCGGATTTCCACCATTGTTGCACCTTCAACTTCAATCTTTCATATCTTTCTCATTTTAGCTCCAAATTGTGAGTTCTTTATATGTATTTTCATCCTTTCAATGATTAGAATCTGAATCTGTACTTAGTTTTTTCTATCTGTGCTTCTAAAATTTCCAGAAAATTATTCCACTATTTCGCATTTTCTTCTTAAATTTGAATAAAATAGTTGTTGACATTAAATCCATTCCAATTAATTATATAGTTGTTTACTAGCCTCAAGGTAGTTATTTATCAAAACAAAGTTAATTTTTACGAATTAGAAGTAAATTTTAATTAATTCCGGCATTTAGTTGTTATTATTGCATAAATTAAATTAAATACTCAAAAAAGGCAAAAAATTAGTTTCTGTCCTAATTCCAGTTTAATTCACAGTAATATCACTCCTAGTAGTCAATATAAAATTTAGAACGAATTTAGAATATTTGTAGTTGCTTTCAAAATTTTCTAGTTAATATTGAGAAAATTTTCAATTAGTTGTTAAAATTGGATTTTAGGTTATAAAATTCGGGAAAAATTCCAGAAGGTGACATTTTAGTTCTACAAGTTTATTTTGGCAGAATATTATTTTTGTTTAATTTTCGCTATTATACATGCTTAATTCCTTGTTAATGTTGAATTTATTCATTGTATTGTTAAATGAAAAAATGATCTTTATTAGCTAAATTTGTTTTGGGCATGAATTGACTAAAGGAATATGGATTGACTTGTTGACCAAAAAAATTAGGGATTAAAATTAATAATGGGGACTAGTTGTTTGAAATGATGAAATAGTAATTAATAATTGTTAGCCATATTCATTAATTAAATTCTTGGAAAATTATCTCTAACTTGTCTATGAGATTAGAAAATAATTTAAGCCAACCATATTCGAGCACATTAATAAGGCCTAGAAATAGGATGATTTAATGAAAGAGATTTACATCTTGTCTATGAGAGATAAATTCAATTGCTTAAATAATGAGTTTAACTAGTTAATGAATTTGGCTATTTTTATTAATTAAAATATTGGAGAATTATTTCTACCTTGTCTATGAGGTTAGAATTTAATTCAAGCCAACCATTTTTGAACACATTAATGACACCTAGAAATAGGATAAATTAATGAAAATAGTTTCTATTCTTGTCTATGAGGAAAGAAATTATTAGTCCAATTTTAGTTTTAATTTCCCTAATTACTAGGTCCAAGAATATATCCATTTCTAATTACTCAATTCATTGCCCTTATTTGCATCAATCCATTTAAGTTTAATATTATATTTTCTCCTTTAGTCTATTTTTGAGCCATCATTAGTATTTGCACAATTTAATTTACTTTCTTTTCCAAAAAGTAGTTTAGAAAATCAATCAAAAGTTTTAATTTGGAAAGCTTCCAATAATTTGCGATAACCTGTGACTGGACTTAAAATCAAGAAGCTCCTCCGCCATTCCTCGAGAGACACGATACTCGGGGAAAAACCGAAAGGTTAGACTCCGTTTTACTACAACGCCGCGAAAGCGGTTATCAAATGGCGCCGTTGCCGTTGCCGTTGACCTTCCGGTTAACGGGTTATGATGCCTACATGTCATTTACTTTTATTCATTTTCTATTTCTTTTCTTTTTTCCCTCTCTCATCTTCTACATTCTTCGACCAACACACCTTTCTTCGACGACCCTACCTCCTTAGTCAACCTTTTAGTTTTCTTTTTTTCCTCCGCATCTTCTTTCTCCTCCAGCCCGTCTTCTTCTCTGTTTTCTTTTTCTTCCAAAGTTCCACCCCCAGCTTTCTTCATTCTTTATTTCTATCTTTCTTTCTTACCAACTTGATACACATAACGATACACAAAAGAACAAATAACTACCGGATTGGTCTCCATCATGAACATATTGTTGGTAAAATGTGTGAAAAATTGCATTAAATGGTAATTTTGGGACAATTTTTTGAGTGGGGTCCACTTCCGATTTGGGTCGGGTCAAAGTAGTCTCGGATTGTCCTTGGTAAGGGCTACAATTCGATATATGGTACGCTCAAAACGGATAACGGGTGAATGAGAAATCGCTTTTCGAAGTTTACCCGTTAGAATGGGAAAACTAGGAAAACGGATGAGTTTCTAGTGTGCTAATTTCCTACACCGAAAAACCCAAGGGATTTGCAACCCTTTTAAAGGGACTCCCCCCTTGAGGAGTTAAGATTCCTTAGGGTAAAGACTCTCTCCACACGGGGGGGGGGGGGGGGGGGTGCAAATCAAATCCCGAAATCGGAGAAGAAAGCCCGCGACTTGCGTGCGCGGGCGACCTGCGGACACGAATGTCGTCCAAAAATCTATCTCTCAGCGGCAGAAGCCTACGGAACAGAACACCTCGTTGGTATTCTGGTGGCCTCAGAACAGAACCCCTCTTGGGGTCTTCTGTTGGCCTCGTGATAGAACCCCTCTTGGGGTCTTCTGTTGGCCTCGGAACAGAACCCCTCTTGGGGTCTTCTGTTGGCTTCGGAACATAACCCCTCCCGGGGTGTTCTGGTGGAGGTCTTCTGTCACGCATTTGAATCGTTACAACAATAAATGCCCAACGTTCTTATCTTTTAATGCAACGTTAAATGGACAGTTCATGGACGATTCAATGCCCAACGGACTGGTCATTGATGTCCAACGTTCAGATCCATTAATTTACCATTTACACACAACAAACCCTCCTATATAATGGCTGGCAGGTGTTTTGCAACAACACACAAATTCATACACTCCATGCACGTTTTGCACCTCTAAAACACACTGCGAGCAATCTGAAAATTCCCTAAGTGTTCATACTGTGTTCTCGTTCGCTGGAACTCTTGTTTCTATGCTCAAACACTAGTTCGTAGTCATCGTATCATGGGAAATGATTGTTGCAACGCTCCTAGCACCGTGGGAGGCAACAAATACGTTTTAAGGACATCGTGCGTAGCACGAGCTTTGACTAATTCTGCTTCATCTCCTTTCTTGTTTTTCTCTAGTCATTTTATTTAATTAATTTATTTTAATTAATTTTCTTTATTTTCCGAAACACACCCAACACATATTTCCGGCATCGCTGGTAATTGCACTGGTTTACTTTGTGTCGCCGTCGCTGGAAAGTTATATTGAAGATGAACCGCCGCTGTTAGCGAGACAAAGAGCTATGTTGAAGATGAAGCCGTCATCGCCGGCGAGGAAGCTGCCAACACTGAATCTGCCTCCGATCCTCGCCCATCGTGTCCAACAAAACCCTCGTTGCTTGTTGGTTGTAGTCTTGTAGATTTTCTGAAACAAATGAGTCTTGATTTTAACCGGGATTAAAGGTTGCTTCAATGTTTTTCAAATACCCACCCCAAATGCTACTCACCCAATACATCCATCTTTACTCAAATACTCCGTATAATTTTCTTTAAAATAATTTTTTCTTAAATCAGTAGAATCAGCCACTACAGTCACTTTAGCCAGAACTTTATAAAATTTCAGCAAAATCAACCAAATCAGCCGATTTTCGTGCTCCCAAGTCTGAATGTTTTCAAACACATCTTTGGTATTCGTATTTTTCCATTTTGTTTGATTTTTAAATTAATTATAAATGTTCATGGATATGCACTTGTTTGTTAAATAAATACTTCACTTTATTTTTCGGAAAAGGTTTCTGAGTTTGTGTTTTGCCCTCTGTGGCTAAATACGACCTCCGTACTATATTAAAAAATTCAATTAAATCTTTCAAAAAAAAAATTCAATTAAATAATTGCATTTAAAAATACGCAATTAAAGAGGACTGCTCAGGTCCAGCCGGAGGGACGGGAGCAGCCGTCCGAACTTCACTGTTTGGGGCGGTCCCCGGTGGAATTTTTCGATGAACTTTTTGAGCATGTTCCTCATCAAGTCTAGTTCGTCCATACCAAATTTCAGCTCAAAATTTGACCGGGAAGGCAGTCAAATAAATTCTTGAAACTTACTGCACTTTATATATGCGCAGAATGTGCAGTAAGCTTCAAGAATTTATTTGACTGCCTTCCCGGTCTAATTTTGAGCTGAAATTTGGTATGGACAAACTAGACTTGATGAGGTACATGTTAAAAAAATTTTATCGAAAACTTCCACCGGGAACCACCCCAAACAGTGAAGTTCGGACGGCTGCTCCCGTCCCTCCAGAGGGACCTGAGCATTTCTGCCCAATTAAATACCCCAATTTTAGATCATGTTCACATCAATTTTTAACGAGGTTATGACCCGGCTAGCTGGTCATTATTTTTGTTTGTTTGAACGAAGACAAAAGTTTGGAACTCTATTCAAGCATTGGATTGATTGATTCAAAGAAGGGAAAATAATGATTGCCCCTTGAGGTTAGGTGATAATTATTAAATCAACTTTATATTTTTAGAACTGAATTATTTACCCCTTAAGCTTTTATTAAAGTTAGAATATCCCCCTTTTGTTAAAATTTAATTGCTTGGACAATTAGTTGTAAGAGGAATTCCCAAAAATGTCCTTATCTATTAAACTAAACTAAAGACTAAAGAGTGGTATAAAATAAAAGTACATCAACTAAAAGTTTCTAGGCTTACTCCAAATGTATTCGAACAAAAAATTAATGTTTTCCAAGCATCATTGCAGCACACTTGAAAGTGCTCCGTGCCTTTCCGTTTTTCTTCTTTTCTACTCCAATTTCAATTCTCATTCGAAGTCCCATTCGTACATCAAAGGAAAATTCACTCGGTTGTGTATTTGAAGTAGGGGTGTGTAAAAATACCGAACCGGCATGGTGTCAAACCAGACGGATACGGTACCGGATCGAAAAATGAGACTTGAAAGAGATCTCAATTTTTTTTGTCGCGAACCAGACCGTACCGGTTCTAAACAATGTCATGACCGGTTAAAATTTGTACTACTATAGTATATCTGAAATTTAATAATTATTATGTAACAAACACGGAGTATGAAAATTGATAAATCATGTGGATTTTTATAGGATGACTAAACTCTAACTTCCACTTAAACACTTCAAAAAGTGACATTGTTTGTTTGTTTTTTTGTTTTTTTAATAATTCAATTAAAAAGCACCATTTGTAAAAACTAGTCTGAGAGTAATGCATGTTAGGAGCAACCTACCTTTGCATCAATTTGAAGAACATCCATTCGCCCTCTTTTAATCACCAAAGAGTATCTATTAGGGACTTGAAAATAGAACCGTACTGAACGGATTTAGGTCTAAGATCGAACTGAACCGTTTCAATAGTCACGATACAGGTACGAGTTTGGCAAAATACTAGACTGGATCGGACCAGACCCCTTATTTGAAAAAAATACGTAGATGAGAGAATTTAACAAATAATCCCTAAACAAGGGTATTTTAGTCAAAGAAATAAGCATTGATGAAAATGTTGATAGAAGGGGGAGATTACATCATTAATTGTAGCTGAGGGGGTAAATAGTTGACTTTTAAAAATATAAGGTTGAACTAATAATTATCATCAAACTATAAGGAGGTAATCATAATTTTCCCTTCAAAAATCACCCAAAAATCCCATAACTCTTCTCATTCCCAAACATCACACAACTCACTCCCATCTACCCGAAACAACCACTACCCACCAGGAAATTGATTGTCAGAATCAGAATTTCAGTGACCAACCTACTTCTCCGGCTAAACCTGGAACATTAATTCATCACAATTGGGGCTGCAGCTAGTGGCGGAGCCACTATAGTTCAAGGGTGTTCAATTGAACATTTGAACACCTAAAATTTTGAAAAACACATTAATTATTTATTGTTCTTTCAAATTTTAATTGTACGAAAAAATGAACACCCAAAACTTGAAACATAAATCTGCAACAGCCAGTAAAGGCGTCAGATGAAGAAATTTGACCAAAATTATTGAGATGAAATCCATGCGAAATTCGTGGTGAATTGTGTGAATTCTATGAATGAATGTTCCCAGATTAACGATTAAAAAATTGGACCAAAAAATCCTCTTTCAACATATCAGTTACCTGCTATCTATCTATCTATCTATCTACTCCCTCCGTCCCTTATAACTTTGCCAACTTTCCTTTTTTGGTTGTCCCAAAAACTTTGCCACTTTCCATTTTAATCAATCAATTTGTGGCTCATGTTATTTCTCTCTCCTCTGCACAAATCTCTACCACACAGTTTTTACTTTATTATTCTACGTGCCGGTCAAACATGGCAAACCTTTAAGGGACGGAGGGAGTATCTATTACTCCCTCCGTCGCCTTTTAAATGTCCCGTTTTATCATATTGGGATGTCCCTATTTAATTGTCACATACCTTATTTGGTAAACTTTGTGTGGCTCAAAATCATTCTTACTTTATTCTTACTTTATCAATTAATATCAACCACACAAACTCACTTTTCTTAAAACTCGTGCCACCATTTCCCGTCCCATTTAAAAGGGGGCGGAGGGAGTAATATATAGTTTATCATATTTTCAGTGGTTGGTTGACTTGGTTCTGTGAATTGAAAACGTTGAAAAGCCTTGAATCTTGTGGTCTTTGATATGTGCACAGGTCTCACTGACTCAGTTCTCAATTGCTTCCTTTATTTGAGTCAAACTCTATGTTGACTCTTCACTCTTCCGGTGAAGCAAAAAAGAGTTTTGAACATTTCCCCTACAAGTATGCTATATCTACTCTGTTCTGTCCTTATACTATGTACATAGTATTAAATAAAGGAATACTTCATATTTTTTTCTTAATCTTAAAACATACCGTAGTACATAGTAGGTTCTGAATAGATAGATATACTTGATTTTATAGAGGCTGCTCGTATGGATGGAGAGAGTGGCAAAGCAGTTGAGAATGTGTCCACTGATCATGAGACGACAGAGCCATCTAAGAAGAACCTACTGAAAGAGGAGGAAGATGTGGACGGTGATTCGGCTAGTTTTGATGGAAGCTGAGGATTTCCTGTTTGAGTATGAAGGTTTTTTTTTTTTTTTGATCACAACAAGTGTGTTGAGAACGTTAGGGCTGCTACCAGGAAATCACGTGATGGTAATAATATGGTCCTATTGGTTTTACTCGATTGTTTATTCAGTAACATGGTGTTATTTATTATCGCGGAAGATATTAATGCTCGAAAGTCTGACTTTAGCCAATTTTCCTACTCATTTTAATGTCAAAGTATAAAATCATACACGGTGCTTTTAGTTACTGTATGTTGTATAGTTTGCCTCTTATTTTTGTGGTCACTATACTAATGACTATCTCACTATTCTTATAGGTATGGGTCGAATATTGTATGAGGATGATTCTTTGAAGCAATAGTTCCATAAGAAAGTACATGAGACTCTTTTACTTTCAAGCTCCGAATAAGAGTGAAACTGACCCCATTTCGTCTCGTTTACCTTCCTTCCTTTTCGACTGGTGGGACGAAGTCGCATTGATTGAATCGGTGAGACTAGTGAGCTATGCACGGAAAAAGCCTAGTGACGTGGTGGGACACATGCTGCTCAAATTGCTCAATAAGTAGGCTTTTTTACAGCTTCTTCTTTGGTTCATCTATGACATCGTCGGAAGATGAATCAATTTCACAACGGGGGCGCATCAACCTTCTTGGTGGAAAACCACGTCCTATTCCTATTGACGAGCTCCAATAGACTGATTTTATTCGGGATTTGGATATGCACAATGATGATTAACTGTTTTGCAATTGTGCAGTGAATACCATTCTATTTAACGTTGATGATGCTGCTGCTGATTTTTTGATGAAGGTATAAAAAACTTTCAATTCTTTATTTCTGTGTCCTACATTATTATGTACATGTACTATAAATAGTATATTCATCCAAAACAGTGGTCTACATTTGACTTTACTATGCAAAGAAAGCACTAATTTGGTTGTTGTAATTAAGCAACTCTGTTGGACAGGTCGATTGGAGGTTTGGTATTGTGTAGTATGTCTGGGAATTGTGAATATGGAGTCACTCTTTTTTCATAGTACCCATTGTACATCTTATTTGCTGTGTTTCTTAGGATGAAACACAAAGTAAAGTTTAATCTGAGCGACTCGGACGTCGCTATCACTTATAAAGACATCTTATAAGGAATAACTGTATTTGATTACTTGAAGAAGAGCTTAACTCTTTGTGACCTACAAAACTAGATTAGCATTACAAATGTATCAGAAATCACTATAGTTCGTCATATTCTTCGTAGTAGCCTTATACTCTGTATAAAATAACATGGATACCCTTAGCAAAGCCAATCAAGCGATAGAGTTCCATGTATTTACGGACATGGTATGTTACAACTTGCAAACAACAATCCTAAAAAACCATTCTTTCTGATTGTATTTTCCTCCACAATTTATGATATTGACTTGATCGATTGCAAATGATTGCATAATAAACACACAAGCCGGGCATATAGCTAGTCAAATGGCATAATTTTTATCTTTTCATCATCCTATCTCTCTCTCTCCTATTCTCTCTCCTATGCTCTGCTTGTATGTTGTTTCACCATTTTTACCTTTTAGAAAGAAATATAAAATAGGTCTAACAACAAAAAGTGAAACTTTTAAAGAAAAAGATTCAGTAAAAAAAGTTTGCCAAAACAATGGATATGGTTTATGTTCGTTTGCAGAACATTTTGTCCAACACCCACTGACATACAAGTTCAGAAATAAAATTTAGACATTGATAAGAAAAATTTACCTAAAAAACGATTACAAAATTTTCAGTGTAGATTACTTGCCTAAAATTATAACAATGACATCTATTCTTCATCTATAACATACTACGTACAATAATAACACAGGTTACGCAGTTATATACGTAATGATATACGGAGTACGAAGTATAATTTTACACATCATAGTAATGCCACTTTTACACATTACATACGTGGTACACATTATTTATAAATGTATTTATACAAAGCATAAATAATGTAAACATACTAATGGTTTTGGCACCATATAGTCTTCTTTGTGAATAAAAACAAGACTTTTGCCATTTTGGAGTTCTGTTTCAAGCGAAGACGATCTAATTGTGTCTCCAATATCATGTGTGTGTATTTGTGTTAGTTAACTTCGATTAGCTTGGACGTTGTTGGCGTAATCACTCCATCAATCATCATTAAAGGGAGATAAGAGGGCAAGTTGTATTGAAGAGATGAGTTAGTCGTTTGTTGTTGGGGGATTTAGAGAGGAAGAGAAGGCAGTCGGAGTGGTGGTGAAACTTAACGTTGATGACGCCCGACATCACTCGGAACCACGAAAGAAACCGCAGCCGCACCACCACGGGCAACCCCTCACCGGAATCCAGCATGTCTTCCATCGCTCTCCCGGCGGCGTACATTGCTTTGTTCCTCGTACCCACCCATAACTTGAACACGGTTGTACCATTGCTCCCCGCGAATAATTCCCTATCCTGCGTACATATAACCACAGCCCTGTTTGGTGAATTGGAAATCCTACTCATTTTAACGATTTTGACCAACTTTAGCCTTACCTTGGCTTTACATTTGACGAGTAGTACGCTCAAATTTAAAATGCTAACATGTCTAGTTTGTTTTTTGTTGTGCTTTCTAATCGATTATAATATATGTTCTATGTTAAAAAAATTTACTTTTAAATTAAGATAGATTCAAACCCGTGATATCACGCCACAAGATACTGGACACATGTCTAGTTGGTTCATCAATGAAGAGATTGTGGGTGTTTTTGAATTACATATTCATTTGAATTATAATTTCACTATTAAGATATTATATTCAATTAGTTTATAATAAGGATGTTTTTACTTGGATTGTTTTCAGTTCCAGACCAGACCATGTTAATTATCACGATTAGGCTAAGATAAACGATAAATTTAAAGTAAGAACACAAGAATTTACGTGGTTCACGCAATCGGTGTGATTACGCTAGTCCACGGCGAACGAGAGAGAGATGTATTATTATTCCAGCGTCTGGTATGTTTACAGATACATTAGGGATGTTTAAATAGGTTTAAGAAAGCCTAAACAAGGGTTAAGGCCGCAGGCCCAAAAATTAATCCCGTCATTAATTTTTCCCGTATACTCGATCGAGTATACATACATACTCGATCGAGTATAGATTCCAGAATTCTGCCCGAGTAGTGTTTTTACACATACTCGACCGAGTATACCTCCATACTCGATCGAGTATAAACTCCAGAATATAACCCGAGTAACCCTTACACGCATACTCGACCGAGTAATGATCAATACTCGATCGAGTGTAGAAACCAGGGAAATACTCGACCCATCAAACACCTCATACCCGATCGGGTAACCCAACATACCCGATCGGGTATATACTCCTGCATTCCAAACAAGGCTCCATCTTCAACAATCTCCCACTTGGAGGCTTGTTCAACAGTCATCTGCCATCCAAGAACATGTATCCTCTGCAACACCCCTGATCTCTATCTCTCGTTCACACCTTCCCATCAAGTATCTGGAAGGCCAGTTGAAGCCATGCATAGCTTCAACTTCTCCGTTGTCACCACCTTGGTAAGCATGTCTGCTGGATTCTTCGTACCAAGGATCTTTTTCAAGTTTATGATACCGTCTTCAATCAACTCTCGGATAAAATGGTATCGCATCTTGATGTGTTTCGTTCTGCTATGAAACACTGGATTCTTCGCGAGATGAATAGCACTCTGGTTGTCACAGTATAGACCGCAATCCCCCTGTTCCATGCCCAACTCCGAAAGAAAGTTCTTCAACCAGATCAACTCTTTGGCCGCTTCAGCAATGGCCATATACTCTGCTTCTGTGGTCGAAAGAGCCACACTCTTTTGAAGTCTAGACATCCAACTGATCGCCGTACCTCCAATTGTGAATATGTAACCCGTAGTGCTCTTCCCGGAATCACAACAGCCCCCCAAATCAGCATCAGCAAATCCTTCTAGAATTACTCCATTCCTTCTGAAACAAAGAGCAATTCCAGAAGTGCCTTTCAAGTAGCGTAGCAGCCACTTGACTCCTTCCCAATGTTCCTTCCCTGGATTCGACATGAACCTGCTAACAACTCCCACTGCATGAGCAATGTCCGGCCTTGTTGACACCATTGCGTACATCAAGCTGCCAACGGCTGATGCATAAGGAACTTTAGCCATCTCATCTTTGTCTTCATTGGTCTTTGGAGACTGCTGCTTGGAGAGTTTCAGCTGACTCCCTAAAGGTGTACTTCTTGGCTTGGCATCCGTCATTCTGAACTTCTCAAGGACTTTCTGAATGTACTTCTGCTGTGAAAGCTTTAAAGTACCTTCCACCTTGTCTCTGACTATGCTCATCCCAAGAATCTGTCTCGCCTCCCCTAAATCCTTCATCTCAAATTCTTCGGACAACTTCTTCTTGAGCTCGTTGATCTCCTGCATGTTTGATCCAGCCACCAACATGTCATCAACATACAAAAGAAGAATAATGTATGATGACTTGAATTTCTTCAAGTAACAGCAATGGTCCATCTTGCATCTAGTGTACCCATTCCGCTGCATGAAACTGTCAAACTTCAAGTACCACTGTCTGGGAGCTTGCTTCAGTCCGTATAGACTTTTCTTGAGTTTGCACACCAATCTCTCCTTGCCACTCACTGGGAAACCTACTGGTTGAGCCATGTAAATGTCTTCTTCAAGGTTGCCATGAAGAAAAGCAGTCTTCACATCCAGCTGCTCCAAGTGTAAATTTTCAGCTGCAACGATACCAAGAATCAATCTGATAGTGGTCATCTTCACAACCGGGGAGAAGATTTCATTGTAGTCAACCCCTTTTTTCTGTTGGAACCCCTTGACAACTAGCCTGGCCTTGTATCTTTTGCTCCCATCTGCTTCATCTTTGATTCTGAAAACCCACTTGTTCTCCAATGCTTTCTTTCCCGGTGGTAACTTGACTAAGGACCAAGTTTGGTTCTTGTCAAGTGAATCTAACTCATCTTCCATGGCCTTCTTCCACTGTATGGAATCTCTTACAGCCAACGCCTCTGAGTAAGATTCTGGCTCTCCATTCTCAGTCAGCAACAGATAATTTGCTGAAGGAGAATACCTGTTAGGAGGTCTCCTGATTCTGGTGGACTGTCTGATGTGTGGAGTAGCTGCCTCTGAACTCCCACTGTCTTCATCACTCCCACTATCTTCAGACATTCCTGTATCTCCTGAGCTCCCACTGCTCCCTGAGCCTCCAGCCGTCTCATCACAACCGACCGGTTGTGCTATGTCATCTTCAGTCATCCCTTCAAACACCACTTGCTGTTTGTTTTCTGGTTGCTTGCCTTTGCTTGTTCCTGCTGCAAGACCATCTTTATAAAGGGCATTCTCGTTGAAGGTGACATCTCTACTTCTCATAACCTTCTTGCTTTGGTTGTCCCAAAACCTGTAGCCCATGTCATCCGACCCGTACCCAATAAAGATACACTTCTTTGCCTTTGCCTCAAGCTTGTCACTATCTGCATCTCTAACTTTGACATAAGAAATACAACCAAAAACTTTCAAGTGATTAAGAGATACCTCACGACCTTTCCATTCCTCTTCTGGAATTTTGAAACCAATGGGAGATGAGGGTCCTCTGTTGATCAAATAGGCTGCTGTGTTCACCGCATCTGCCCAGAACATCTTAGGAAGTCCTGCATGCAATCTCATGCTTCTGGCCCTCTCATTCAGTGTTCTGTTCATCCTCTCTGCAACACCATTTTGCTGTGGTGTTTCTGGAACTGTCTTCAGCATTCTGATCCCCTGTTCAGCACAATACTCTACAAACTCTGTGCTACTGTACTCACCCCCATTATCACTCTTTAAACACTTAATTTTGAGATTTAATTTGTTTCATTCTCAACTGCAGCTTTGAACTTCTTAAAAGTGTTAAAGACTTCAGATTTATTTTTAAGAAAATAAACCCATACCTTTCGTGTAGAGTCATCAATGAATGTAACATAGTAGCGGGAATCTCCAATTGAAGAGACCTTTGTAGGTCCGTAGACATCTGAATGAATCAACTCCAGCCGCTCAGTCTTGGGTTGCTGCCCTGTCTTCACAAAGGTTACCCTCTTTTGTTTGCCTAGAACACATGGCTCACAAAAGCTCAACTTTGAGTTCTTCAAATCTGGGATTTTGCCCTTTGAAGACAGCATCTTCATTCCGTTCTCACTTATGTGCCCAAGTCTTTGGTGCCACAAAGTAGAGACCCCTGTATCTTCAACTGCTGCGTTTGCCCCATCTGTGGACACTTCAACCATGTACAGTGTACCATGCTTCTGCCCACGAGCAATGACCAGCTTTCCCTTCGTCACCTTCCATTGCTTGTTGCCAAAACTAACGTTATGGCCTTCCTCATCAAGCTGTCCTACTGAGATCAACATCTTCTTCAGGTCTGGAATATACCTGACATCTTTCAGCCTCCAGGTTGTACCCAAAGTGGTACTGAGATCAACATCCCCAATACCCGTGATCTCCAGGGATTTATCATCCGCCAAACGAACTCTTCCGTCGTAGGGCCTGAAATTTTTCATCAAATCCCTGCAATGACAAGCATGAAACGACGCACCTGAATCCATGATCCAGGACTCAACTGAATTCTCAACGCAGCAAATTAGAACATCTTCATAATCCTCTGCCACATTCACCTCCTTCTTGCCTTTGTCTGCTGGGGCTTTTGGGCACTGATTTCTGAAGTGTCCATTCTCCTTGCAATTCCAACAACTGATGTCCTTCCTATTCTTGGATTGACCCCTCTTCCTCGACTTTGATCTTCCCTTCTTGTTACCCCCTTTAGTGGATTTTCTGCCCCTGTCTTCAGTACTCAACAAACTATTGGAGCTATCCCCCGAACTTCTCCTCCGGATATCCTCACCAAGGATTAAGTCACGAATACCTTCAAAGGTAAGCTTAGTGGTTCCAGCCGAACTACTAACTGCTGTGACTGTACCGGACCAACTATCGGGCAAAGATGATAACAAAAGTTGTGCTTGAACTTCATCATCGAATTTAATCTCAACCGATCCTAACCTGGATATGATTGAATTAAACTCGTTGATGTGATCTGTCACGGATGCACCTTCCTTCATTCTTGTATTCACCAACTGTCTGATTAAGAAAACCTTGTTGGCCGCTGAGGGTTTCTCGTACATGTTGGATAACGCCTTGAGCAGTCCAAACGTTGTCTTCTCGTTGACGATGTTGTAAGCAACGTTTTTCGCCAACGACAACCTCACCACACCAAGAGCCTGTCGGTCCAACAAGTTCCACTCCGCCTCCGCCATCGTCTCTGGCTTGTTCTCAGACAAGGGTAGATGAAGCTTTTTCTGGTAGAGATAATCCTCGATTTGCATCTTCCAGAAAGCGAAATCTTGACCATCAAATTTATCGATCTTAACCTTCCCTTCGTCAGCCATAGCTCTGATACCAGTTGTTAATTATCACGATTAGGCTAAGATAAACGATAAATTTAAAGCAAGAACACAAGAATTTACGTGGTTCACGCAATCGGTGTGATTACGCTAGTCCACGGCGAACGAGAGAGAGATGTATTATTATTCCAGCGTCTGGTATGTTTACAGATACATTAGGGATGTTTAAATAGGTTTAAGAAAGCCTAAACAAGGGTTAAGGCCGCAGGCCCAAAAATTAATCCCGTCATTAATTTTTCCCGTATACTCGATCGAGTATACATACATACTCGATCGAGTATAGATTCCAGAATTCTGCCCGAGTAGTGTTTTTACACATACTCGACCGAGTATACCTCCATACTCGATCGAGTATAAACTCCAGAATATAACCCGAGTAACCCTTACACGCATACTCGACCGAGTAATGATCAATACTCGATCGAGTGTAGAAACCAGGGAAATACTCGACCCATCAAACACCTCATACCCGATCGGGTAACCCAACATACCCGATCGGGTATATACTCCTGCATTCCAAACAAGGCTCCATCTTCAACAGACCATATCAGACTAGCAAGTTACAGTTCAAGTAAAAACATCTGATATTAAGTTCCTTTAAAAAAAGTATGGAGTAATGGTTAAGTTAAATTAGTAGCTAGCTACAATAAAAACCAAAACAATACTCGCTTGTTCGTTTAGCTACTACCTTGGTGTTAGACCCGTAAGATAGAATTTTACTGCGTAACACTTGGTATGGTACTATGGTGTTACACTTTGACATGCTATATTTGTTTACGAAATAATTTCTAAATTGAAAATGTTATTTTTATTTAAAAACACGCACTCTCAAACTTTCACAAAAATATACGAAGTACTATCGTATGAATCAAAGTCATTAGTCAGAGTGTAATTATTGACCCAAAAAGTCTTGTCATGACAAGTTTTAAGTGATTGAGAGTAAGAAATAACACAAAAAATATTCATACATTAATAATTTTAGTAACTATAATTGTGTTCAAACTTTACATCATAATGACTACAAAAGTATACTAAGCTAGTAACTATAGTCAAATTTATGTCCATAAATTCTCTATTAATTATCTTTTAGAAAAAAATTAGTTAATATATACTCCCTTCGTTCCACAATTAATGTTTCAATTTGACTTTACGATTTCTAAGCAGACGTTTGACCATAATTATCTATAAAAATATACTTAAATAATCTATAATAAATTGAAACTTGAATAATACAATTACAATAAATCACATGAATTTGATTTTGTGTGATAAAATATTGTTAATTAATTTTGTGTAATTAACTGTCAAAGTTTGCCTCAAAAGTCAAATTGAAAATTTAGTTGAGGGATAAAGGTTGTACGTATCTCTAATATCTGTTTGAGGAATTTTAGGCTGGTAGTAAGTTGCTTTTCAACAATAAATATAATTGATACGATCAGATATATAGTTATACTGAATTACGGAAGAAATTAAACTTACAAGCTTAGATGTTGCAAAAAGGAATCTGCCGAAGTACATTTGCAATAGAGGAGGATGAATGTGAAGAGGAAAGAGGTTGGACTTGTTTTCTATGACCAAATTTATGGAAGCATTGCAGTTTAGTATTTTGCTGTTAACACCACTCCCGTCCACTCCCTCTCCCAACTCCCATTGCTCAAGTCCAACCATCTGCACTATACATACATATAGAGAGTAATTAATCATTTAGAGATCAGATCAGACACCTTTCAGTTTAATTTACCTTTACGTGCAAATTATCGAAAGAATAGAGACTTGCAAATTGATGGTCTAGTCTGATCTGGTCCCCATAGTATTTTACAACTATGGAAATCTGATTTGATTTGGTCTTGAACTAAAAACTGTCCAAAAGAAAACATTCCGAATTGTCCCGCTGGGAGTTTCAATTGTATCCGACCTCTGACAGATATCTGCACCACTAAATTGCTTCGGTCAAAATTGTGAAATCCGCAATGATTGGGTAACAAATACATGGTATGACCAATACATACCCAATATGCTGTATACTCGCTTTATTTTTAGTTATATTTTCATTTCATCTCATATTATTTGTCTCACCAAACAATAATTTTCCCTCTTTTTCATTGGGTATGTATATATGGATGTCATCATAGCAATAATACATGCAATCAAGAATATCATTTGAGAATCCACCTCTTTGGATCGGATATCAGATCAAGGGTTGAGTTCAAGTACTCCGTATTAATTATAAGCTTTTTTTCACGGAGTAATAAAAAATTGGGGGAAAAGGGGCAAATAAGCCCACGTACTAACAAAAAAAGGGAAAATAAGACCTTATATAGGAGACTCTGTCCGGCTGTCCCTATTTGGGGCAGTTTCCGGCGTAATTTTTTGATGAAATTGTTTGAGCATCTTATTCATTAAGTTTAGTTTACTCATACCCTAACAATTTAATCAGGAAGACATTCAAATGAATTCTTGAAGATAACTGCGTTTTTTACTGCGCTGTTATCTTCAAGAATTCATTTGAATGTCTTCCCGATTGAAGTTTTAGCTGAAATTTGGTATGAGTAAACAAGACTTAATGAATAAGATGCTCAAAAAATTTCACCAGGAACCGCCCTAAATGGCAACGGCCGGACAGAGCCTCCTAAATAAGAACTTATTTGACCTTTTTTGTTAGTACGTGCACTTATTTGCCCCTTTTCTCAAAAATTGGGTACTGCGAGGCTTAAATTAGTTTAGATCGCCTTTTTTCTAGACTTGCAAGTACTGTACGAGTATACGTTGTACTCCGTACCTTTTCAAAAAAAGCTAAAGGAGTGTTTGGGTTTGCTTAAAAAAAGCGCTTTTCAGCTTTTGACTTAAAAAAAGTTGAAAAGAGTGTTTTCAAATGACAGCTTCTGCTTAAATTAATCACTTAAAAGCTAAAAGCTGGAAGCAGGTAGAATGGTGCTTTAAACTGCTTCTCACTTTTTCTATTACACAAAAAGTACTTATTTTACCGAACACTACCAACTTTTACTTTTCCAGAATCATTTTTTTCTCAAACACTACCAACTTTTACTATTAATCACTTTTCCCAAAATCACTTTAAAAAATCACTTTTTTAAAGTTGAAGCAATTGCAAACACTCCCCAAGTACTGTACGAGTTCTTGTCATACTAAAATATGAATGACTCACTTATTTAGGGTTGGTTTGCAACTCCTTTTAAAAAAACACTTCTTAGCTTTTAGCTTTAAAAAACACTTATTTTCCCAAACACTACAACTTTTATTTTTCTCGGCTTCCGCGTCAAAAGTGCTTTTACTTTTTCTATTATACAAAAAGCACTTATTTTACCAAACACTACTCACTTTTCCTTTTCAAAATCACTTTTTTCTCAAACACTATCAACTTTTATTTAATCATTTCTCCCCATTTCATTAAAAAAGCACTTTTTTAAAAGCAAAAGCTGTTGCAAACAGACCCTTAATTGGTCATCCATGACTTTAAGTTATCGTTCAACTATTTTTAGGGTCGGTTTGCAACATCTTCTGTTTTAAAAAAAGTGCTTTTTTAATGAAGTGTGAAGAAGTAATTAAATAAAAGTTTATAGTGTTTGAGAAAAAAGTGATTTTGAAAAGTAAAAGTTAGTAGTGTTTGGTAAAATAAGTGTTTTTTGTGTAATAAAAAAAGTAAAATCATTTTTGACACGAATACCGAGAAAAATAAAAGATGATAGTGTTTGGTAAAATAAGTGCTTTTTAAAGTTAAAAGCTGAGAAATGCTTTTTTAAAACATTTGCAAACCAACCCTTAATTTTAACAAGGCGGCTCACAATTTGGCGCAAGTTGCGTTTCTATGTTTGATTGTAATGTTTGGTTTTGAGTTCCTCCTACTTTTATTTTGATTGTAATGCTAGTTAATTCCCTTTCGTTCAAAAAAACAATTGTCCCTCGATCGAATGATGGATTATGCATTTATGCTTATAACCGCCCATTGCCAATTTGTCATAAATTGGGGTCAAACGGGGATTGGGGTATGACGTTGTAGCCTGTTACTCTGTAGCTAAAAAGTAAATAGATTAAGCTATTTAGTGATTAATTAATTATTGAATCTGGATCTCCTTTATTTCCAATTAATCAATTAGTTGTTAAAGGGAGATAATCCCTTCATTATATTCTTTTTGGTAGTTACAGGGCGGTTTAATAATTGTGACTTAGCTTGTGAGCTTGAGAGTTCATGAGTTGTGACTTGTGAATTATATGTTTCAAACTTCAAATTAAGGCTTCAAGTTCTAAATAAACATACACTAATACACGCATGTCTCACGTCGATTTGTAGAAAAAAGTAGAACGCATACTTTTAGATTTAGTATTTTCCGACGAGCAGTTTACTGTGTTAATATGTGCAATGTGCACATGGGGTTGAACTGAAGTCCTTTTATGATTGAAAACCTAACCTAAGACAACGAGATGTTTGGTAATGACGTTTCAGCTGAAAAAAGGCGATTTGATTACTTTTAGCGTTTTCAATAAGTGTAATAATTGTTTGGTAAATCGTTATTCGGCACTAGCGTTTTTGGATGAAAACGCTAAAATGTAAATACTACAAATAGGAGAGTTTTGTATTTCCATTTTGAAATATGACATTTTCTACCAATTTTATGGATAAACAACTAAATTACCAAACATCTTCTGAAAACAAGTCAAACCCGCTGACTGAACCCGCAATTATTGACAACCCGCTAAGTCACTAACATAATCCGATATCCGCTAACCGCTAAATATCAAACATTCCCAAAGCAATAAAACTCAAATCCATTTTATATTTCCGTATATTTTTAGGTTTAATTAGGAGGCGATTAATTCTTGATATACACAAAAAGTATACATATTTTGTAAGCTCGCCCGTGTATATGGACAATTAGATGGGGTGTGGATTCCTAGTTTTTTTACTTAAAAGGCTACTACTTTAGTATATTTGGGTGCCGAAAGACGGTGAACCATATTTGGTAAAACTAAAAGACCTCCTTAAAAACGGTCATGGATTACTCACATGTTTGCTTTATATTTGTAATTATTTGTCATACTCCATCTACATTTTTTGTGGCGTTTTATATCTCTTCCATATCTAAGTTTCTATTTTGACTTTTAGAATCGACTTTGTGAATTTGAACGTTAGAGTTCTACTAACCCCGCACGCTGTACTTTCCTAGTTTAGTAATTCGTATTTATGTGGTCGATAAAATTACCCTACTACATTCAAAATTAATTTTTGCTATGAAGTACTAGTATAATTTTATGAAAGTTATGAAGTTTAACTTTTATGAAAGTATTTTTGATCATTTTCTTAATTTGCTCATAATCTCTCATTTTCTTAATTTGCGTCATCCCAAACATTGTTGGGGTATATACATATACTCTCATGGCTCATAAAATCCTCCATACTTACTTTTTGGATGTGCTAAAAAAACTCTTCATTTCCCTTTTTGGTAATTGTGTGCGGCTAACATTAATTTACGTTTTTCTTATACACCCACAATAATATGTCTTTTCTTTACTTCCACTTTTCTAAACATTAATCCAAGTCAAATCGGAAAGAATTTTAGGAAATAAAGTACATATTTTAGTAATAATTGATATCCTTATATATCCATTATCCATATCTATGAGTCTATGGTAATTGTTAAATTCTTACTAAAAAATCAGCGTGATTACTGATTAATTAATGACATGGATGGAGTGAAAAATCAAAGATGCATGGGGTTAATTTGTGCACATACGTACCTTGACGGAGACTTTAGGTGGCGGCGGCTTGGTAGTGATGTAGAAGACAAGCAACGCCGCCGCCATGCTCACGACCACCCTCCAACTAATCTGGATCGCAATCCAACCCGCACCCGAATCCGGATACCCAATTGACAATAATCTCCCCCATCCATAATTGTACTGATCATGATCCAATTCCACGTCTGCATTGTCCCCTTCATCATCATTTTCATGATCTTGATCTTCTTGTTTGTCCTTATTGTTATTTGCATGGGCTGGGTGCTGACCAAAGTAAGGTAGTGCGGCTCGAGGGTAGTTTCGGAAAAGAGCTTCTTCGTCTTCTTTTGAATACATGCTAGTCATATCTTATCTTACCAGCGGCTTTGGTTAAGTCGGAGACAAGCGAAGTACAGTGGTGGTTTGTTTTAGTGGCATGGTTTAATTTTGGAGGCCGGGGTTTTAAGCGGCCATTAGTGGAGACGTTAA